CGTCATTTGTGAGTACCATACATTGTTCGTATCTGTCAATTTTTCTTTGTCAGTTTCTCGAACGCCAGGGCTGACTTGAGTTTTTGTTCACATAAAATATTTAGCTCACTCTCCGTGCTTTCATCGAGTACTCTCGTACTGGTGAATTAAGCCTCATTTCTGACGATGTTGGCTATATTATGGTTGATCAGGACGACACGACGCTGGAATCTTTACACTGTGGCTTCGATAAAGGAGCTGTTGTCGAGGTTCTTCCACGATTTCCTTGAAAATTAATGCGACATTGCTTTAACAGAGTTCACGTTATAGAACAAGGATGCTCACAGCACTTAAGTTAGATAGCGTCCATCGTTTGTAACGCGGGGGATTTACCCGCGTCGCCTTGAAGCCTTCCGATGCACGTTTCATCAGCGGTGGAGCACGAGGAACCAACGTGGAAACCTGCACTGGTAATAAGGTGCCAAAAAGTGGTTAAGAATGCACATCATCGCGACAAAATGGCTCAAATCGCGTAGTTGCAGTCGTCGCGCGAATCGGACGACTGATTCGTCTGCTTACGGCCATGAACGCTGCATTATGAGATATTCTGTTCTGCGAGATTCTATCTCTTTTGAGCGTTACATGGAGGAATGTCGCTTCCGCAAAGCGTGCTGTCCAGTACTCGTAGGATCGTTGCCTTTTCTGCAGTAGCTAGATCAACAAGTAAGTGTCATAAATGGCACTTGCACCACCAACCGCTTTTTAGTGGGGTTTCCTGCACCGCACTCTTCGTTTCATTCTGCTTATTTGTTTTTGCTCTCACCTTAGGCTGCGTTCATACCTTGCGTCCGCATTTTGAGCGTACGGCAGCGTATACCAGCGTTCGGCAGTGTTTTCCAGGGACTAGGAAAGTATAGACATCGATCTAGCTTTTTGAGTGTCCGCCAGGGTTTTCAGCGATGCCCGCGGAAACTTCAAAATTACCCGATTAAACGATTAAAAGCTGGCGTACGCTCAAAAACATAGATTGATATCTACACTTTTCCAGTCGCTCAAAACGTTGACGCAAGGTATAAATGCACACTTCAACTTTTCTTGCACGCTTGAAGTAACTTTTCCTTCCCCCAATTTCAGGTGGAGTTTGTGAATGGTTCATGGTGGTTACGAAAGCTACTCGGCGAATGGCGTGAAGGCATTGATTTATCGAATGTTATTTCTTCATCCTAAATGTTCTTTTGTTTCCTCAACTGTGCTACTTTGTGCGTTTTCAGCCTGATTCACGGCATATAAGGAAAGGCTACGATATGGCAGAGGACGAGTTTTGTACGGATAAGCTCCGCGAAAATGAAATTGGACGCCCTTCCTCAAGTTCATCAAGAGGTTCTTGTTCACGATTTGAGCACAACTCACAAGTGAATCTTAGAAAATCTGGCAGTAGCAAAGAGCCACTTGAACGCATGAATTCGGTGAGTCTTTATTGTGGAGCAAACTTTTCATCCTATGAGACCACATAAGAGAAGCTTTTTGTTATTTTCAGATAGGATATACGAACAGGGCCCTCATGTCACAACGGGTTTGCCGCTAGTGTAATTGTGGCGGGGACACGTGACGTGCTTAGGCTGCACCCTTTTCGGTCATTAGTGCTCAGTAAGACTGAGCTCGGCATTATTTAGATTGAAGGGGGTAGACGGGCAGGTCTGAGTGGAACTCAAATAGGGAAGCTAATATACTAAAAAGTCAACGGTGAAGGACGAAGTAGAAAATAAATCATCCAAGTGTCTCAAATAGAACCCCTTGGCAGGGGCATTTGTACAAGCAGAGAGCGAGCAAAGGTTGTGATCAGACGATTCACTGGACTCTGAGTTATGGTCGACATGGTCGCCGCATTTGCTCTCAGCTGATTTTCTATGAGCAACCATGTTCTGCCAATGCTCTTTGGCGAGTCTTTGTTATGGCTGGGTGAAGCAGTAAGCGAGACCAATAAATGTGGCTCGGGCCGATGAGAGG